GATGATATTTCTAGTTCCATCCATTTCCCTGCAAATTTCATGATGTCATTATTTTTCTCTGCTGAGTAGTACTCCATTGTATATATATACCACATTTCCTTAATCCATTCTTGAGTTGATGGGCATCTAGGTTGTTTCCAAGTTCTGGCTATTACAAATAATGCTGCTATGAACATAGTTGAGCATGTATACCACCATGTATTGTGGTATGATTGAGCATTCCTTGGGTATATGCCCAAGAGTGGTATGGCTGGGTCTTGAGGTAGATCGATTCCCAATTTTCTGAGAAACCACCATACTGATTTCCACAGTGGTTGTACAAGTTTGCACTCCCACCAACAGTGGAGGAGTGTTCCCTTTGCTCCACATCCTCTCCAACATAGACTGTCATTAGTGTTTTTGATCCTAGCCATTCTGACAGGTGTAAGGTGGTATCTTAGAGTCGTTTTGATTTGCATTTCTCTGATGACTAAGGATGTTGAGCATTTCCTCAATTAATTGTCTTTCAGCCATTTGAGATTCTTCTTTTGAGAATTCTCTGTTTAGCTCTATAGCCCATTTTTTAATTGGATCGTTCAGTATTTTGATGTCTAGTTTCTTGAGTTCTTTATATACTTTGGAGATCAGTCCTCTGTCAGATGTGGGGTTGGTGAAGGTCTTTTCCCATTCTGTAGGCTGTCTTTTTGTCTTATTGACTGTGCCTTTTGCCCTACAAAAGCTTCTCAGTTTCAAGAGGTCCCATTTACTAATTGTTGTTCTCAGTGTCTGTGCTACTGGTGTTATATTTAGGAAGTGATCTCTGGTGCCAATGCGTTCAAGAGTACTTCCTACTTTCTCTTCTATCAAGTTCAGTGTAACTGGATTTATGTTGAGGTCTTTGATCCACTTGGACTTGAGTTTTGTGCATGGTGACAGATATGGATCTATTTGTAATTTTTTTACATGTTGACATCCAGTTATGCCAGCACCATTTGTTGAAGATACTTTCTTTTCTCCATTGTATAGTTTTGGCTTCTTTGTCAAAAATCAGGTGTTCATATGTGTGTGGATTAATGTCAGGGTCTTCAATTCGATTCCATTGGTCCGTATGTTGGTTTTTATGCCAGTACCAAGCTGTTTCTATTACTGTAGCTCTATAGTAGAGCTTGAGGTCAGGGATCGTGATGCTCCAGAGGTTGCTTTATTATACAGGATTCTTTTAGCTGTCCTGGGTTTTTTGTTTTTCCATATGAAGTTGAGTATTGTTCTTTCCAAGTCTGTAAAGAATTGTGTTGGGATTTTGATGGGGATTGTATTGAATCTGTAGATTGCTTTTGGTAAGATTGACGACAACTCTTATAAAGAAATATATTTAGTTGTGTGACTTACAATTTTAGAAGTTTCGTCCGTTATCATCATGGTGGGACATGGTGACATGCAGACAAACATGGTGTTGGAGAAGGAACTGAGAGTAGAGAAGGAGCTGTCTTTGTCCCTCAGGCAACAGGAAGTGAACTGAGGAGACAGTGGGCATGGCTTGAATATATATTGACCTCAAAGCCCACCTCCACAATGATGCACTTCCTCCAGCAATGCTATACCTCCTAATAGTGCCATTCCCTATGAGCTTATGGGGGCCAATTACATTCAAACTACCACAGGTGTTTGGTTTTTTTTTTTTTGTTTTTTTTTTGGTCACTCTCTACTTTAAACATTTCTAGGTGGCACATGCCTTTAGTCCCAGCACTCCAGACGCAGAAGCAGGCAGATCTCTTTGAGTTTGAGGCCAGCCTGCTCTACAGAGTGAGTTCCAGGACAGCCAGGGCTATTACACAGAGAAGCCCTGTTTCAAAGAACTTAAGCAAAAGTTGCTAAATAAGTATCTTCATTTCAACAGAAAAAACTTAAAAGTTATCTTGGTCTCTAAGAACAGGATGGTTGTTTTTATACTACATCCTAGTTTTTCAAAAAGCTGAAAGATTCCCCAGAAAAGATTCCTGTTCCTTTTTGCAGAAGATAATGTGGCCAGACCTTTTGATTTGATTCTTTGCTAAATCTCTGGGTCTACTGTTTTGTAAGCAGTCCCAATGAGCCTGTTAAAGCAGGCAATGTGAAGAACAGAGACCCTTCTTCCCACCTTTAGTATGAACCTAGATGTTCATCCCCTAGTTTTATCTGTGGTTGTTTGATGCAATGTCTGTCTTTTCTTGGCTTTTCCCAGTGTTTGTTTTGTTGTTGTTGTTTTTGTTTTGTTTGTTTGGGATTTTTTGGGTTTTGTTTTGATTTTTGTTTTTTGTTTTGCTTTTCGAGACAGGGTTTTTTTCTGTATCCCTAGCTGTCCTGGAACTCATTCGTAGACTAGGCTAGCCTCAAACTCAGAGATCTACCTGCCTCTGCCACTTGGGGGCTGAGATTAAAGGCATGTGCCTACTGCCAGGCTCCTCTCTGTCCTAATCTCTAAAATAATACTGAAACACTAAAGCAGGGACTTAGGAAGATGGTTCAAAAGGTAAAGTGTTTGCTGAGCAAGCATGAGGATCTGAGTTTGGATCCGTAGCATCTAAATGGAAGCCAGGAGTGCCTTCATATTTCTGTAATCCCAAAGCTAGAGATGGAGACAAGTGGATCCCTGGGGTTCACTGACTAACCAGTCTAGCCAAAAAAGTGAGCTCCAGCTTCATTGAGACGAGATCTCAATGAATAAGGCAGAGGAGAAGATAGGGGAAGATACTGGATGCCAGTCTCTGGCTTCCACATGTTCAGACACGGGTGAATACACCTGCACACATATATGCATAGACCACACACATACACACAAATGAAGGCAATAAGAACAAAGGTTTATACATATGAAAATGGCTCGAGGGGGGGCAGGAACAGTTCCTAGCATGTGCAACATCCAGGGTTCCATTCCTAGCATTCCATAGAGCAAGTGTAGTGGTATACCACCTGCAATCCCAGCACTTGGGAGGTGAAGACAAGAACATTAGAAATTCAGGGTCATTCTCTACAAGGAGTTCAAGGTCAGTTCAGGATAAATGAGACCCTCACTCAGAAAAAAGAAAAGTTATAATGAAACCCATTACTTTGTATACTAACTAAAAAAAATAATGAAAACAAAAAAGAATTCCTCACAGATAAAAACCAACTTGATATTTTTTGACCATAGAAGACTATAAACTTGAAGCTCCACGCAGCTACAGTGGGCAGTGCATCCAAATAGAAGCCATCATGTTTCTGTAATCCCAAAGCTGGGGATGGAGACAGATGGATCCCTGGGGTTCACTGACTAGCCTCTCTAGTTAAAACAGTGAACTCCAGCTTCATTGAGACCCTGTATCAGCTACCAATCTTGTGACTTACAAATGCCTTGAAATGTGCTGTTAATACACATCTAATTTCAAAGTAAAAAAAAAGTAGTAAAATATTGTATTAATGATTTTAGTATTTTGTGGTTGGGGATGTTTCTCATGGGTAGTACAATGTACTTCATGTACAAGGCTGTGGCCTTGAGTTCACTACCTAGCACTAATAGTAACTTTAATATTTTGTCTGGATTCACTACCTAGCACTAATAGTAACTTTAATATTTTGTATATGTTGAAATATTTTTACATGTGGGAATATTTGAGGTATATTGAGTTAAATAAAATATATGATTAAAAGTATCACTTGTTTCTTTTTTTAAATGTACAAAATATAAATTATATATGTGGCTTATATTATATTTCAAGTCTAGAAATTCCCAAGGGAAATTTATTTATTTATTGAGAAAGGAGCTTACTGTGTAGACCAGGCTGACCTCAAATGCCAAACTCACAGAGATCCATCTGCCTCTCCTTCCCGAGTGCTGGGATTAGCGTGCACCACCATGCTCTTTTGTGAGAACTGTTTTGTGCATTTGCACTCTTCACCTAACAAATATAAGGTAATTCTCTGAAAGAGGGAAAGAAAGTAAACATTGGGGTTGGGGGTGGTGAGGTACTGGGATCAAACCTATGGTCCTCAGATGCTCAACAACACTCTACTGCTGAGCTAGATTTATATCCTCAGACCTCTTTTTACTATCTGAGACAGGTTCTCACAAAGTTGCCTAGGCTGGCCTTGAGCTCACTGTAGTTCAGACAGGCCTTGAACTAGCAATCCTGCTCTAGCCTCCTGAGTAGTGGAAACTACAGGCCTGTGCCACTAGACTCCACAAATAGGCACTCCTGAAACAAAAATGGGCCTCTCTATTACGGAATTTTACTTCAGTCCAGTCTTGCTTTGCTTTTAATTTATTTGTCCAAATTGATTGATACCTCTTATGTACCAGTTCCCTGGCATTGCATTGTATTGTATGCAGTAAATAGGTGACTATGGCCTAGTCACTAATCAAGAATGAATTCAAAGCTCCTTTCATGTAGAGAAGCATTGAGGTGATGGTGGAAAAGAAAATGCTGGGGGGAACTAGGAATTCATAACTCATTCTGATTGGAAAGGAGACCAAAGGCTACAGATGCTTGAAAAGCAGGAAGGGAGAGAGGAAGGCTATTGTACCCAAGGAGAACAACTGGACTTAAAGCATAGGGAATAAGATCAGTTGGCCCACCAGGGGTGTCTTCCATTTCCTCCTAGGTACAGAGGAACTAACAAAGAAGTTGGAGAAGCTGGGTAAGAGACAGCAAGAGCTCATTGGGAAGGAAAGACTACGTCTAGGACATGTTTAATGAAGGCTAAAGTGGGAGAGTCAGGCATAGTGCCAGCTTTCTAATTTTGAGGACACTAGTGGAGTTGGGTTTACACAAAACTGAAATGTGACTGGATGTGGTGACACATGGCTTTAATATCAGCCTTCAGGACGCAGAGGCAGACAGATCCATGTGTGTTCCAAGCCTGCTTAGGGAATACACCGTGAGACCTGTTTCAAAACAACAACAAAATTGGAAATGTAAGAGAAGATAGGCTAAACACGCAGCTTTCTGGACGGGGGTCTGCAGAGGGAGCAGGCTGGAGCTGAAGTGCTTGTGTTTGTGTTTCAGATGGTGACCCTCTTTCAGATGTGGGTTGTTCCCCTCTATTTCACAGTGAAGCTGCATTGGTGGAGGTTCTTGGTGATCTGGATCTTCTTCTCTGCTGTCACAGCCTTTGTCACCTTCCGAGCCACACGGAAACCTCTAGTACAGACAACACCAAGGTGAGAATGTAGGTAGAGGAGAAGAGCCTGGTTTTCTTCTTTCTTCTCCCTCGCTTTCCTCCTCCTCCTCCTCCTCCTCCTCCTCCTCCTCCTCCTCCTCCTCTTCCTCCTCCTCTTCTTCTTCAGATTTTTTTTTTTTAATTTTAATTCGTTTGAGAGTTTTGCCTGTGTGTATTTAAGTGCACAGCATGCATGTGTGTGCTGCCTATAGAGGCCAGAAGAGGGCATCAGGTCCCCTGGAATTGGAGTTACAGACTCTTTTCAACTGCCATGTAGGAACTCGATCTCTTGCAAGGGCAGCAAATGCTCTTAATCTCTGAACTGTCTCTCCTGCCCCCAAACCTGGGTTTCTTGAAGTGAATCTGTTGGAAAGCATGGGAGGAAGATGGGTTTAGAATGAAAAACAAAAAGCCTTTTTAATTTTTTTTTTTTTTTTTTTTTGTCTGCCAAAATGAGTTGGTGCAGGGCTTCTTTAAAACAAGCTGATTGGGAGACCCACTCCCCTAGCCACAGATTCAGAATTCCAGATATTTCCCTGTCCTTCACTTGATGCTCTACATCCAGATCTGCTGGTGTTAAAAGCACACAAAAGAAGCCTTTGTGATCATCGTGGTCTCATTTTAAGTATCCTTCTCTCCTATGAACCCTTCTCATTTCTAAATTAGATTTTCCGTTATGTTTTCTATTAAGACCTTGTAGTTTGCCATCATTGAAGTCATCACAATTTACAACAAGATGTTATTTTGAGTATCTGTCTTCCCACATGCACTGTGCTGGTCACTGTATATCCTGTCCAGGCCTTGCCACAGGGTTTGGCACATATTAGCCTACTCTGAATTTTTGTTGAATGAATGAATATCAGCAAATTTGCAGTTTTATAATGAATAGCACTTTCTTTTTATGTAACAAAGCTACTGTTTCTATAATTCTTTGTTTTATCCAAATATTTATGTTTCTTATTTAATCCTCCCAACCAGCTTGTGAGGTCATTTAAGATCCATACCTGGCAGGAAAAGATATTTTTCTCACTCATTCATTCATTCAACAAGCACCTGCTATGTGCCAGGCCCTTTGGTGAGCGCTGGGGATACAGAGCTGGATAAGACATGGTCCCCGCCCTCAAGGAGTGCTCGGTTTAATGGAGGAGAGGGTCGAGAAAGCACCTGTTGGAGTGCATTTGGTAAGTGCCATGAGAGGTGTGCATGGGCTTAAGCCTACCAGGGGAGCTGCCTAGCCTGACCCAAAGTCTCCCAGTTTGCAGACTCTCTTTGTGTGCTTCGTATGTTTACTACACACTTTTCTCTGACCTTCGGATTTCACTGTGAGAATGAAGACGGTGATCCAGAAGCCTCTCCCTGGCACCTCTTTAGGCCATTAGAGAAGGCACAGGATCTAGGCCAGGAGGATATGGAGTTGGAATACCCAGCATTGTAACTTGTGAACAGCGGGACCTTACCTTTCTGAGCCTTGAATTTTTCATCCCCAAAAATGTGATAAATGCTCAACTTTAGATGAAGTGATTTTCCAAAATTAAAGCACACTATCACATGTGAGTGACCAAGTGCTGGACATGATGATACAGGCCTGAGTCTCAAGGAGATATGATTGTGAGTTTGAGATCAGCCTTGGGCTGCAGAGAACCAATTCAAGGACAGCTTAGGTTACATATAGCGAGATGGTTCATCTGGTAAAGATGCTTTTTGCTTAAGCCTGATGACCAGTTTGATCAGAACCCAAGTAAAGGTAGGAGAGAACCCACTCTGCAAAGTTGCTCTTCGACCTCCACACATGTGCCACAGACAGATACATAAAATTACCAGTGGCAAACAGTATGATTAAAATATTGTTAATAATATAGAAGGTTGTTTTATAATAGTAAATAACATTGATGGTGCTTTCCAGTTTCATAAATGGCCTTATTTATTCATCTAACTTTAACAAGTATATTACAAGAAATAGGCTCTTTATACCACAGTGAGAAAGGTCATTTGCTTTATCATTTATGAAAAGAAGTGAACTTATTTCAGAAATATGATATGACTCATCTGAGCTTATTTAGCAAATAAAAGCTTACTAATCTTAAATATTAGAAGATCTAAAATTCCATATCTTTTCTGCTGTCTCTTTCCCTTATGTAAATCCTGGATTGCATAGCTTTGTGTGGTTTTTAGTGCAACACTACAAGATGCTTGGGGCCTTTCCCTAGCCTGAGAAGCCTGCTTGGACAGAGCAGGGAAGCATAGGCAGAAACCTAAGTGTCCATCCTGGGGTCCAGCAGAGAGGTAGTAAGTCAGCTCTTAGGAAGAAAGAAAGCTTGGGCTAGTTATTCAAGCAAATTACTAAACTGCTCATTTGCTATTATCTCAGATAGGATGGTTAGTGACTGCCTTAGATAGGGTTTATATTGCTGTGATGAAACACCATGACCAAAGCAACTTGGTTGGGGAGGAAAGGGTTTATTTGGCTTACATTTCCACAGCACTGTTCATCACTGAAGGAAGTCAGGACAGGAACTCAATCAGGGCAGAAACGTGGAGGCCATGGAGGAGTTCTGATTACTGACTTGCTCCCCGTGGCTTGCTCAGTCTGCTTTCTTATAGAAGTCAGGACCACCAGTCCAGAGATAGAACCACCCATAATAGGCTGGTCTCTCCCACATCAATCACTAATTAAGAAAATGGTCTACAGCCCCAATCTTATGGAAGCGTTTTCTTAGTTGAGTTTCCCTCTTCTCTGATAATTTTAGCTTGTGTCAGGTTGACGTAATACTATCCAGCACAGTGACTGCTGGAATCAGGGACCACCTGCAGCATTTACAGAGGCCGGGTTCATACAGAGACTCTCTCCTTCCTGAATCCAGCTGGAGTTCCACATTGCTTGTCACTGCTTACTCTCAAGAATGTGAAAAACCCTACTCTCCCCTCTCCCCAAAACAAAGCGTACACATCAAATCAGGGGTACTGTTTGAGTGCCTTCCTCATTTACTGTCCAACAAAACATGTCATTTCAGAATCATATTCATGAGGCATCATTCCTAATGTGATTGGCCTCATGGATAGGAGCAAAGCTGCAGCCAAACTAAGCAGACCCAGGTACAAACTGCAACCAGTTCTGTCTCTGATTCATCTTTCCCTGGATTCTTTTCTGACAAGAACAGCAAGCTTTTGCATGTTGTCTTCTGAAGGTTCTTAGTCTTTTTACTTCCTTACCCAACTAACCTTAATTTGAGAGGGCAGAGGTAGCTTAGGCCATCTGTGTCTTTTATTTGCTTGAGACTGAGACTTACTTTTAGGGATCCCTTTTCTTGGTCCAGGAAAATACAAAGCATTCTTGGGGGTATGATGATTTAGGGGGCATTTCTGCAATTGAGGATGTGAACAGCTTTTGACAGTAACCAAAGTTGCCCAATAAATCCTGAACATTGAACCTGATGCCCCATTGATGTGAGAAGAAGGGGTTCTGGTGATTCAGTGGCCTCTGAGTCCACCATTCTGTACCAGCTATACTAACTGTTTATCTTCTTCCTCCAGGTTGGTTTATAAATGGTTCCTCCTAATCTATAAAATCAGCTATGCCACTGGCATTGTTGGCTACATGGCTGTCATGTTTACCCTCTTTGGTCTTAACTTATTATTCAAGTGAGTACCCTTTGCTTTTACATTTTTCTGGTATTTAGGGGAGAATGGCTGAAAGTCCTAGGTATTAAAAAAGAGAACATGGTATAGGTGGCAGCCCTCTGTGCTATTTTGCTGGCAGAAAACATTGAATGTCTGAATACAGACAAAGGTCAGATTCCCAAATCATTGTTTATATTTTCCAAAAATTGGTATTCAGTTGAAAAGCATAACAAAAATAAACATAATAACCAATTGTCCATAATTCCATCCCCAAAGAATAGTTTTCATCTTTGTACACTACTCTGCCTGGCTAGAGCAGGGACTAGCAAACTTCACCCGAGGGCTTGTTGCCTCCTATTGTCATGAGCCTTCTAGACACCAGCTTACAGGTTCTCTTACCCACAGATGACACAGAAGTCAAGCAGTCCTGAACTTAGAGACCAGAGAGTACAGTGAGTCAGTAGTCCAGAGGAGGGTGAAATGTGGTTATCTAGATGAAGTAATATTGACTGTGGGCTCTCGATCAAGAGGAGTCCCAAGCCAGGCCTGGGGATGTGTTTCTGTATTCCCAGTAACTCAGTAGGCTCAGGCAGAAGCATTGAAAGTACAGTGTCTGCTTAGGCAGTCTGGGTGACTTAAGCCAGATCCTGTCTCAAAATTAAAAATAAAAAATGGGCTGGGGATGTACCTTAGTGATAGAACTTTAGGTCTAGATGGGTCAAGTTGAATCCTCAGTACTGAAGAAGGGGAAAGGGGAAGAAAATAAATAGTTCCATGTCTGGGACAGTAGTGACTAAAGATCATGTTTTAATTTATAGCTGGAAAGATTTTTGTCTTAGTCACTGTTCTAGTGCTGTGAAGAGACACCATGACCGGGCAACTCTTTTTTTTTTTTTTTTTTAAAGATTTATTTAATTATTATGTATATAATGTTTTGCCTGCATGTATGCCTACATGCCAGAAGAGGGCACCAGATCTCATTATAGATGGTTGTGAGCCACCATGTGGTTGTTGGGAATTGAACTCAAGACCTCTGGAAGAGCAGCCAGTGCTCTTAACATCTGAGCCATCTCTCCAGCCCCAACAAGACAACTCTTATAAAGGGAAGTAATTAATTTCGGGCTTATTTACAGTTATAGAGGGTTAGTTTATTATTATCATGACAGGAAGCAGATATGTGTAGTGCTAGAGCAGTAGCTGAGAGCTTTATATCCTGATATGTAGGCAGCAGGCAGAGAGAGATACTGAGCCTGGCAAAGGTTTTTGAACCCTTAGAGGTCACCTGCAGTGACCTCTTTCAACAAAGCCACAAGTCCTAATCCTTCCTCAGTTTCACCTGCTGGTGATCAAGCATTCAAACATAGGAGCCTGTGGAGGCATTCTCATTCACATTTTCACCACAGCCACTAACCTCTCAATACACTTTAGGCTGGAGAATGTTTAAAAGTTCATTGTAGGACAAATAAAACTAAGTACTATGTTATAGAGTGAGTGGACACTCCTAGATTTCTTTCTTCCAGGAAAATAGGCTGAAAAATAAACAAGTTCCAGAAAGGTTTAGGATTCATTCATTTAGACTCTAATACTTATCTTCAACAGAGCTATGCTGGAGTTAAAGGTGTACATCACTATACACAGCTAATGTTACATTTTAAAGATATTTCTTCTATAGTTTCTTTACTTGCCTAATTTATACAGGAGGAAAACAAATTAAAGATCTTGACTTTAATTTTATGTTACGAGTGTTTTGCATGCATGTGTACATGCAGGAGCCTACAGAGGCCAGAAAAGGGTGTTGAATCCCTTGGAACTAGTGTTACAGACAGTTGTGAGCTGCATGTGGGTGTTAGGAACTGAACCCTGGTGTTCTGTAAGATCATCCAGTGCTTTTAACTGTTGAGCCCAGAACTTGACTATTTTTATGCTGCTGATTAGGTTGATGGGTGTAAGATGAGCACTAACTAATCAGTGAGTTAAATATTGCAAGGCTAATAAGCACATCCACTTTCTTTCTTTGAGAATTATAACTTACAACCATGAGTGAATACATAGAGTTCTTTGTAAAAATATGTTAGCAAAGATAGTTTTCTACAACATTCATAGACTCTAGACTACAAATTATTGGTCCTTGGAGTTTTTTTTTTTTTTTCTGGTTTTTCGAGACAGGGTTTCTCTGTGTAGCTTTGCGCCTTTCCTGGAACTCACTTGGTAGTCCAGGCTGGCCTCGAACTTACAGAGATCCGCCTGGCTCTGCCTCCCGAGTGCTGGGATTAAAGGCGTGCGCCACCACCGCCTGGCCGTCCTTGGAGTTTTTAAACTAATGTTATAAGAAGGATCCATATTTTCTTAGTAAATAGGCTTGAACCAAAATTTAACTTTGACATTATACCAAATATGTACTTATACAACTATTCTATAGTAACATATATGTAAATATTTACTAATTTTACACTCCCCCCAAACCTATGTTTGATAAATGCTTTCTATAAAAGAAATGTAAATAGTTTAGGTTATATAGAAAAGTAGGGGAAATCTAGGCTATTATGTGCAGTACTTACAGATGAACAAAACTCCTATCCTGCCTGGGCCCTGCTTCCCTGGGGCCCCAGGAGCACATTTCATGTATGGGAGATAGTTTGTCCAATTACTGTCAGTTTAGACATTCCCAGAAGAGAGATGGCAAGAGATAGAGGGTCATTTCAGTCTTTGCCTCCGATCTACCAAGGTCATAAATGTCCTGCCTGCCTTTGATGAGTTCAGCCATGTCAGCTTGGGTGGCTGACTTGAGGTGAAGCCATTCAGTGAGTTACTTTTTTTTTTTTTTTGATGAAATCCCCATTACTTGGTATCCAGCCTTTACCAATAATGGAGTTGCTAACACATAGCTCTGAAAGATTCTCTGGGCAAGTACAAAGCCTGGCTGCCTGTCATGTCAGGCTGGAACTACAGACAGAGTTGAGAGTAGGGACCAGGTTCGTGGGGCAGTGATACATTGGAGCTTGGTCTTGGCAGCTCATAGTGATAGCTTTCCCAAGAGATGTTTGTGGACCATATTAAAACAGTAAACTGGATCTCTGTGAGTTCGAGGCCAGCCTGGACTACCAAGTGAGTTCCAGGAAAGGCGCAAAGCTACACAGAGAAACCCTGTCTCGAAAAACCAGAAAAAAAAAAAAAACAAAAAAACCAGTAAACTGGATTTGTTCATAATTTAGTAACATTTACTCTAGCTTTTGAGCAATCCAACTAAATTTAGACTTTGCCTTGAGTGTCTTCAGGCAGTAATTCAAGGCAGTTGTGTCTCAGAGCAGGCCTTACTACCACACTGCTTCCCCTGCAGGATTAAACCAGAAGATGCGATGGACTTTGGCATTTCTCTTCTCTTCTATGGTCTCTACTATGGAGTTCTTGAGCGGGACTTTGCAGAAATGTGTGCGGACTATATGGCTTCTACCATAGGGGTAAGTTCATCTGTACTTTTTTTTTTTTTTTAAATAAGGTCTTGCTGTGTATGTAGCCCAGACTGGCACCTTGAACTCAGATTCTCCCACCTCAGACTCTTGAGCACTAGGATTACATGTTTCTATCACTATGCCCTGTTATCTACCACTATGCCCTCTTACTGTTGCCTCCTGCTACCTCCAAGTTGTTCAGGCTAGCATCACTTACTTGATGTAAAACAAAGGCACTAAAATGAGATAAGCCATAGAAACTTTTAGGGCTGGGTGGCGGTGGCGCACACCTTTAATCACAGCACTCAGGAGGAAGAGGCAGGCAGATCTCTGTGAGTTCAAGGTCAGCCTGGTCTACAGAGTGAGTTCTAGGATAGGCTACACAGAGAAACCCTGTCTCGAAAAAGCAAACAGAAACAAAACAAAACCTTTAGGATGAGGGTGGTATGCATAAAGATTTCTTCCTTGAAATTTAGAAAGTCAGATTTCACATGTACCCTGGAATTTTAACTTTAGGGTCACCATAGGAAAGAAATACTTAGGGCTGGAGAGATGGCTCAGTGGTTAAGAGCACTGACTACTCTTCCAGAGGACATGGGTTCAATTCCAAGCACCTACATGGCAGCTTACAACTGCCTGTAACTTCAGTTCTAGGGCATCTAACACCCTCACACCAATACACATAAAATAAAGTTAACCAAATTATTAAGCCGGGCGGTGGTGGCGCACGCCTTTAATCCCAGCACTGGGGCGGGGTGGGGGCAGAGGCAGAAGGATCTCTGTGAAATTGAGGCCAGCCTGGTCTACAAAGTGAGTTCCAGGAAAGGTACAAAACTACAGAGAAACCTGTCTTGAAAAACCAAAAAAAAAGAAATACTTTACCCAGTAGGAAGTTAACATTCATTTAACAAATGTTTTTTAATGCTTCATATGTGCCTGGGCCCTGTGCTGTGTGTTGGACTTACAAAGGTATCTGAAAATAAAACATGTATTATTCCTCTCTGAGGAACTGTCGACAGTACATTTTGCTAGTGAAGAGGTAGTTATTTTATTCAGTGGTGTATGTAGCCACTGGTAATCCAAGTGCCAGCAACCCCTGACCCATACTTATGCAAGCAACACTAATTAAACCCAGTGGGTCACACACACAAAATCTGAAAATAAAACTAAAACATGGCCCTTACCCCAAATGACTTCACTCCCTAGTGAGAAAGGTAAATGTTAAAGCAATACACAAACATAAAAGTATGTCTGTATTAAGTATTGTGAAGGAAAGGTACATGATGCCATGAACACATATGATACTGACACATTTGACATCATGAAACTCAAAGATGGCTGCCTCAAAAAATTACTTATAAGCTGACTTTAACATGAGTAGGAGTAAGTGATGGAGTGTGCGATGTACAGAGGAAATAGCATCCACAAGAGTCCTGTCAGCAGGATTGAGTGTGGGTGGGGTTTTTCCTTCCTTCTTTTTTTATACATGTGTATGTGTATTTCTCTGTGTGTGCGCATGTATGAATATACTTTTGGGAGCCAGAGGACAGCCTTGAATGTCATTCCTCAGGAGCCATCCGCCTTGTGTTTTGAGACAGGGTCTCTCATTGGCCTGAGCTTGCTGATTTTGCTAGACTGGCTGACCAGCAGGGATTTGTCTCTAACTCCCCAGTATGAAGATTATAAGTGTGTACTACCTCTGTCTTAGTGTGTAGTGTATGTACTTGCTTGTGTGTATGTATGTTTGCAGGTGCATGAACGTGTGTGTGTGTGTGTGTGTGTGTGTGTGTGTGTGTGTGTGTGTGTGTGTGTGTGTATGGGCGTAGAGGCCAGAGGTCAAACTGAGATGTCTTTCCCCATCACTTTTCATTTTGTTTATTCTTTTTGTTATTGTTGTTTCTTTTTGTTGTTGTTTTTTTTTTTTTTTTTTGGTTTTTTGTTTTTTTGGTTTTTCGAGACAGGGTTTCTCTGTGTAGCTTTGCGCCTTTTCCTGGAACTCACTTGGTAGCCCAGGCTGGCCTCGAACTCACAGAGATCCACCTGGCTCTGCCTCCCGAGTGCTGGGATTAAAGGCGTGCGCCACCACCGCCCGGCTTGTTGTTGTTTTTTGAGACAAGGTCTATTATGTAACTCTGACTCTCCTGGAACTCACTACTGTAGACTAGGCTGGCCTTGAACTCACAGAGAGCCACCTGCTTCTGCCTCCCAAGTGCGTTTTATTTATTTTTAATTATTATTGACTGTGTGTATGATGTGTGGGTGTAGGTGTGCATGTGCTGTGACACTCGTGTAGATCAGAGAACGAGTTTGTGGAATTGGTGCTCTCCTTCCGCCTTGCCATGTGCTCCAAGGATCGAATTCAGATCATCTGGCTTGCATTGCAAGTGCTCTACCTGCGAGCCATCTCCACATCCTTCCCTTTAATTTTTACAGTCAGATCTGTCACCGACCATGAGCTCATCAATCCACCTAGGCTCGCTGGCCAGTGAGATTCCGGCATCTACCTTTCTGTTTCCCCCTCACTTGTACTGAGTTTACAGACACATAGTGCTGCATGAAACTTTTTAAAATGTGGGTACTCAGGACTCAGGGATGTGTGCTCACGAAGCGAGCAAGCACTTTACCGACTGAACTGTCCGTGTTACGAAAGGGTAGATGTTTCTGAGGAACTAAGGCTAGTGTCTGGAGAAATCGTCTATAGATGAGAGTAGAAACTTACAGGCCAAAGATTTTAATCTTCTTTATTATTGTATTTGTGTATGGTGATGGGGGCAGTGCACAGCGGTGATGCTTGCATGCGAGTCAGAGAATAACCTTATGTATTCAGTTCTCTCCTTGTTCCTTTGTGTACTCCAGGGACTGGACTCAGGTCATCAGGGTTGCGTGGCAGTGCAGTTTGCCTTCTGAGCTGTGTAACCAGCCCAAGATTTTAATTTTGTTACTAAAAACACTGAAGGACTAGAGAGAGCTTAGCAGTTAAAAGCACTGACTGCTCTTGCAGAGGAGTCAGGTTTGATTCCCAGCACCTTCATGGCAGCTCACAACTGTCTGTAACTCCAGTTCCTGAGAATCCTATGTTCTCTTCTGGCCTCTCAGGGCACCAGGACACATGTGGTACACACACATAAATGCAGACAAAATGTTCATATACATAAAATAATAAAATGATTCAGGACAAAAAGAACTGAGAGGCTAATAGAGAATGACTCTCCAATTTTCTTTAAGCAAAGGTGGCCCAGCCTGCTGGGTAGAAAGCAGGCTTAGAGAGGCTCCGAACTAGACTAGACCCCGAAGAGACAGTTCATGGATCTGGGTGAGATAAAGTCACTTTAGATGAGAAGAGAGATGGTGGGAAAGGAGGACGTGACTATTTTAGAAGTATTTGGGAGATAAATTTGACAGGAGACAGTATGGTGTCTGAGACGGAAAGAAATGTGGGCAGGATAGTGCCTTGCCCAGAGACAGGGCCACTGCCAGAGGATTGGTGCAGATGGTGAAGAGCTGCTTCAAGCTTCAAATGTAGGAACATAACGACCAAACCACAGGACCCAAGGAAACATCCTCCCCCCCGCCCAAAAATAGAAGTACATCTTGTAGTGCGCTTTTGTTTTGTTTTAATGTTACATGAATGTTTTGTCTACATGTATGTGCACTGCTTACATGCCTGGTGCCTGCAGAGGTCAGATAATAATGCCTGAAACCAGACTTCTGGATGGTTATGAACTGCCATGCCAGTGTTGGCAACTGCACGTGGGTCCTCTGCACTAGCAACAAGTGCTCTTAGCTGCTGAGCCATCTCTCCAGACTGCTCTGCTTTGTGATAAAAGTATTTTATGTATGCATATATATTTTCTTGTAATTACTTAAACAATGAACATGTTCTCAATTTCTGTGTCAATCCCTTAGGCCTCCCCAGATGACACCCTCCTAAAAAGGGGACATTCCATCTCCCTAGGTAATATTAGTCAAGTACAATTTTAGGCCAGGTCTTTCTCAGTGAAGTGAGATTAATTTTATTTTTCCTGTACTAGAACAAATTGGAAACAACAATCTATTACCTCCTTGTATGGATAGCTTCTGTGGATTGCAGCTGGTCTGAGAGTGTCCTGAAGGGTCCATGTGTTGGAGGCTCACTCCTTACTGTAGAGTTGTTGAGGTTGGGCATCACCAAGAGGTAGGGTGTAGTGGGGAGTCGTTAGGCTGTGCCCTTGAGAGAGACTGAGGTAATTCTTATGGCCCATGAGTTAGTTATTACCAGATCCTGTTATTATAAGAGTGAGTGCAGCCCTTAAATGGTCCCCTGCTTCCTGTCTGGATGTGACCTTTTTCATCTGTATGTTCCCGTGTGTGGTACCATCCACCATGGGGTGACTAAAGGGGCCCTTGCCAAATCCAGTGCGGTACTATTTGGGCTTTCATCCTCCAAACTGTAAATGAAATGTTCTTTCCTTGTAAGTGCCCAGCCTCAGGAATTTTATAATAGCAATGAAAACATTCTAGAATTGCCTGTTGGATTCTTTCATAACTTCATTTCACTTTCTCTTATCTACATGTGTAGACTTCAGATCTTTAGCCTCCTCTTTCTCCAGAGAGAGCTATGGGTTCTGGCTTGTCAGGTTACTAACTTTACACTCACAGCAGATGTGTACTAAGGCTGCTCCATGGTGTTTTAGTGACTAACGGTGATAATCCCTAGCAGTGAGGTGACAGTTCCCAGAAAGTGGTATATTTCAGCTTCCAGTCCAGAAACGGGTTCATTTCTTGTTAGGGTGGAGGGAAGCTCAGACCCCACCCCATCTTTTACTCCTCATCCTCTTCTGCCTCTTAGCATGGGTGCAGAAGGATCATCGCATTGGTTTTTACTGGAAGGTTGACACAGTAGCAGGGAAACAGACTGCCCATCTACAAGTGAGATTGATGGAACTTCACACTACACAGTGCCTTTACTTGCCACCCACAGTCTGAATGTTGACAGCCACTGTCCTGTGAATGTCCAGATGTAGAGTGTGTGTTCCTGATGAAAGCATTCCCTCCCTCTGAGTCCTGGAATCTTGGTAAAGATTACTTCTTCTCTAGGGAGTTACAGTGAAAATGTAACTGTCTGTCCAGTTTAGAGGAGTCACACATTGATGCACAGTCATGGGACCTTTGCTGTAGGCTGACATGCCTGTAACTGATGAGTAGGGCTGGCCTAGGAATGTGCTTTAGTCCGGGATGAGTCATCAGGAGTTAACGCATTCACTGTTTACCACAGCATGTATGGCTGAAACTCTTCAAGTTACAGGCATTATGCTAAAGCTTGGATGCCAGTAGATTCTGAGATGCAGGGACCTTGAGCAGGGGATGAGAGGTGCCTCATGTCACCTACCCAACCCTGAGGACTCCAGCAGTCTTTCATTTATTTATGCCAGGAGTCTTTGGTTAATTGAGTGGGTCCCTGAGTGACACCAGACTGAATTTCAGGAATGTTGTTGTCCTGGTAGCAAGAATCTGATCAATGCTTTGAGGTAATCTGGAAATTCTAACCTTCTTGCATTCACTGGCCAACTTATTCACTTATTTGTGCAAGCAATAGTTATCTTGTAAACGTTTGCAGAACGAGCAGGTACCTCTTTACAAGCACACAATTACCTACTTCTAGTAAAATCTTAGTCTTTTTTTGGTGAGGAGAGGGGGTTTGGTAAAACACTCAAGATTTCCCCCAGCTCTTCCCTGGTAATACCATTCTTATTCTAATGTCTCGAAATTTAACTTCTCAGCACCTCATGAGAGGAATCCTGAGTGGTTTTGTGGCCAGTTTATTTCACTTGGGGTAAAATCTCCAAGATTCATTCATATGCTAAAATTACCTCCCTTTTCTTTAAAAAAAAATTACTTTTTTTTTTATTGTTTCCATGTGTATGGGTGTTTTGTCTGCATGTATGTCTGTGTGCCACATGTATGCCTCGTGACTGAAGAAGCTAGAAGAGGTTATTGGGTCCCTAGGAACTATAGTTACAGAAGGTTGTGAGCCACCATGTGGGCACTGAGAGTCAAAGCTCAGTCTCTGGAAGAGAGAGCAGCAGTGCTATAAACCGCTGAACGATCTACCGCTCGAGCCCCAATCCCCTTCCTTTTAAAGACTGAGTAGTCTTCTCCTGATCACACACAACATGCTCAGCCTCAGTCGGTCTTCAGTCTTTTGTACATTCACAGCTTCTGTCTCAGAGAGTTGTAGTTGATTTTGTAACTGTGTCCCCAATGGGAACTCAGAGTCAGAAACTAAACCTAATTCATCTCTTGTGGATAATGCTTTGATCTGAGGAGATCCTTGTGGTGAATTGATTTCAGGGTTCCTAGAAATAAAACTGTGAGGTTTTATAATCATATTAACAAGCATTCTTAGGTCCTCCCCACTGCTCTGCATTACCTCGTTAGGACAATATTCTTTCAATTCTGTGAAGCTGTCTGTGATCTGAACTAAAGTAACTTAAATTGTGTCCGGGGACCTTGATTAGAGACTGCCTTTTCCAGAGGGCCACTATGAAGTCGTAAGTTGTGAGAGCTAGTCACAGTAGTTTCTGTCCATGCCAGAAATTATGCCGTGCTAGAAGGATTGTGAAATGTTTTGTGGTACTTTCTTCCTCAAGTTCTTTGTATGATGCATTGGGGCACATGTCCTGTCTCACATTCTGAGAAAACCCCAGACACAGGCTCACTTCCTGGCTCCTCAGAGTTCCTAGACAATACCAGGACAGGAGTGTGTGCTGTCTTCACTGCGGAAACAGTGGAGGGAACTTGAGTTGGACTGTTTGGAGAGCCTAGCCTTCTTTTTGTTTTCTGTGTTTTTAAAACTCTATTTATTTCGTGTGTTATTAGTGTTTTGCCTGCATGTATGTCTTTGTACCATGTGCATGCCTAGGTGGTCTTGAACTCATAGAGATACATTGAGTCTGCCTCCCAAGTGCTGGAGGGTTGGTATGCCACCATGACTAGCCTGATGTGCTCTTAGTGAGCTGTGTGCTCTAATGCAGGTCACCCTTCCTGTCTCTGTCAGACACTTTCTATGCACTTTTGAAACACTATTCATGTATTTGTTTGGGATTTTTTTTGAAACAGGTTCTCACTATGTAGCCTTGCCTGGCCTGGAACTCCATAAGTAGAACTTGAACTTCCTGTGATCCTCTTGCCTCTGCCTCTCAAGTGCTAGGATTAGGTGTGTACCACTATAGCCAGAATTGTTTTTTTTTTTTTAAATAATAATAATTTAAAAAAAAAGTCCCTTCCTTGGCCACTTTCTCTTGTGATTACTGGCCTGTTCCTTGCTCCTCACAGGTAGGGCACCTGTCTGTGTGGATTAAACACTTCAGTGTGTTCTAACCTGGCTTCTATTTGTGTCCTTCTGAAAACCTGGACTCGTCCCCCAGTACCTACTGCTGTTGTAGATTCCCTCAGCAGGTATCCCCACAGTTGGCTCCAGAACTCCTTCCTTAGAAAACTTCCCCACACTCAAAATTTTAAAGCCCTAGTCTGTCTTCTGTCTGAAGACTGGGATGGAGATGAGGCAAACACAGGTTTAGAAAGACCAGCTAGGAGCCTGTGGTGGTAAATATTGCTAACTTGACAGGAGCTAGTCACCTGAAACCAGACTTCTGGGTCTGTCTGTGAGAGAGCTTCTTGATCAGTTGAACTGTGGTGAGAAGACCCACCTTAACTGTGGGTGACACCATTTCCTGGGGTGGGGTCCCGGACTAAGGAAAAAGGAGAAAATGAGCTGAGCACCAGCATTCATCTCTCTGCTTCCTAACTGCAGATACAACGTGACCACCATCCCTATCTTCCCAGGCAGACAGATTCTCACAGCTTTTCTGGCCTTCCCTCCTGCTCTCGTCCTCTAGTTCTACAGTGAGTCGGGCATGCCTACCAAGCACCTTTCAGACAGCGTGTGTGCTGTGTGTGGGCAGCAGATCTTTGTGGATGTCAATGAAGAGGGCATCATCGAGAACACATACAGGCTTTCCTGCAATCACGTGTATCCTGCCTTGTGCTACATCTCTCCTGAACATCTCTCCAGTCATGGTGGGAAGAGGGTGGTGGTGACCATGGTGCATTGTCCAGAGTTGGAGTGTAGGCGAGCCGTGACAGAAGCTTTAGCTTTCTCCACCCTTTCTTCAGTTAAAGGTAGTTAGGGACTGCCAGGTCGTGGAGAGCCCAAAACTGCAGCAGCTAGTGAGGCTGCTCAAGCTGATGCGCGTCACAGGAGAAGGAGACCCTCTAATGAAGTGCTTCAGTTTAGAGTCAAACCCCTCCTGAGGATTTGACCTCATCTTGATCGTGTATTTACTAAGCTCCCATCCTGTGCCATGTTGGGAATTGTGTATTATCTCCATCTTGGCTCTTAACAACCATGCAAATAAGGATCATTGCTCTCACTCCCCTGTGAGGAAACATTCAGAGAGAAGGAATCTCCCCAAATTACACAGCTGTATGAAGGGGTGAAGCCTCCAACTGACCCTTTCGCTAGAGCTGATGCTCTGGCACCTTGAGATCCAAAATGGGCTGAAGTGCCAGTTTGGCTGTCTACCACTTCCTTGACCAGTGGTGCTCAGATTCCATGAGTTCTGTATCCGAGGCTGGTGCATCGTGGGAAAGAAGCAGACGTGTCCCTACTGCAAGGAAAAGGTGGACCTGAAGAGGATGTTCAGCAATCCGTATCCTTTGGGTCCTTGTTGAAAGTGGGTGATGGGCAGAAAGTACTGTCTGTGTCTGAGTCCTGGGGCCATCCCTCCTGCCTCTAACCTAGAATTTGTTTACCATTCACTTTGGCTTCTGTTCTGGGGAAGTGGGGTGTGACATGAGGCAGTCAGGAAACACAGCTGCCCATCATAAATTACTCACAGAAGCAGCCCCTGCCACTTGTCACGTGTTTGCTTCCTCTCTAGAAAGTACCATCTCACTTGATTCCCTGGCAGTTTTTAGTGGCTGCGCAGTGGCCACAGTTATTTTTCCAGTGAGTGATGCCTTGCCCATGATGTCCATCTGTCTGCAGACTACCTTTACCTATGGGGCCTGAAGGGCTGTCGAGCTGGGGGCACCTTTGCTCCATTCACTTGTAATGAAGGACCCTTTTCTCCTTGGCACTCACTACCCTTCCTACCCAGTCGTCTCTCTGGTCCCACCTTCACGTTCTGTGGGGTCCAAGGGTCCAGCTTTGCCCCAGCTCCTACCCTAGCTGCCCTTTGTGTTCTGTGGTTTCCTGGTCTCTCTCTGTATAGACCAGCAGGACTGGTCAGGGGACAGGAGTGCTCCACCTATTTCAAAAGCTTTTCTGCGGGTTTTCCTCCCAGCCGGGCTTTGCAGGCATTCTTTCCTTTCTCCAGACTCCTTTCCCTACATTTAGATGTAAAGTAAAAGGAAAGGAACTCATCCAAAGACTTCTTGACCTCAGGAGGGCCTCCTTCATGTCTCGGCCAGCGATGAGCGCCTTGTGACTAACCTTGGCTCCTTCTCCCTCTGACTGTGTCCTCTTTTGTGATACTATTCTTAGAAAGATAGGAAAGAACATCTACTCACCCCAGATAGGGAATGAACAACAGACCAAAGTAAGGGTGCCACCCAAGAACAACCTGGTGAACCAGTGAGTGTTATTGGTGTTACTCATAGGAGTGTGGGTGAGGGGTCATTTACAGGAGCCAAAATGACTCAAAGACGGTTGCGTCACCAAAAGCTACCACAGATGATGGCTGCTGGAAGCCACAAACCTGGACCTCGCTGCAGGCAGTTCAGTTGGTCTGAGCCTCTTCTAGGAGGTCTCAGCTGGTCTGAGAGTCTTCCAGGTAGCTCAGCTTAGCTGAGAGGCTTCTAGGAAGCTCAGCTGTGTCTCAGCAGTTTTCACCGATTATATATACTTGATGAAGGAGGAGCCTAGTGTATCTGGTCAGTTTCAGGAACTTCCTGAAGCTTTTGAATTATTTACTTTCTGGGCTTAAGGAGCTTCCCTGCTGGATGGGATGTTTCACTCCTTTAGAACATCTTACTTCTTGGTTTTGTTTTTTTGTTTGTTTGTTGTTGTTTTTGTTTTCTGAGACAGGGTTTCTCTGTGTAGCTCTGGCTGTCTTGGAACTCACTCTGTAGACCAAGCTGGCCTTGAACTCAGACATCTACCTGCCTTTGCCTGAGTGCTGAGATTAAAGGCATGTGCCACCTCCACCCAAGAACAGCCTATGTCTTAACAAGCTTCCTGCCAAGATGAAAGCTTTTATCTGGAAGGAAATTACTACACAACATGTCAGTAGACCCAACGTTTTTCCTTGATGGAGAAAACCTTAAATTTTATTCATTGCAAGACCTTTCTTGGGGCGAGAGTATAGCTAGCTAGCCCAGAGGCAGAGTACTTGCTTAAGACCCTGTGGTCTACTGTATCCATTCCCAGCCTCCTCTGGGATACATTGCATGGATACATTTCTAGGGTGTCTGTCAGGCTCAGGCTGTTTGTCACCTCTGAGAAATGGTGCATAGAGGCCCTGCATGGATGTTGGTTGTGGAAATCTGGTTTACCTCTCCACTTCTCATGTCTGCTCCAGTCCCCTCTGCTCTCCTTCCCCTGATTCTCTGGGTTCAGCCTTCCATTCCACCATGGAGACCTGAAGAGAAGCTGGGTAGCTTTATTTTCTCTGGGCTATGGAGCAGCGTAAAAGTGTAGGCAGCTCCAGGGAAGGCCTGACTGCCAAGCTGGATGAACCTAGCAGCTCTTGCATATGGCCTCTGGTCCTTAACCTTGTAACAGCTGGGAGAGGCCTCACGTCATGTACGGACAGCTGCTGGACTGGCTTCGGTACTTGGTAGCTTGGCAGCCTGTCATCATTGGCCTGGTACAGGGCATCAGCTACATCCTGGGCCTGGAGTAATCAGGAACCACATCCCTGGAGAACCCACCCCACCCACCGTGGACCTCAGGGCACTCTCCTTGCTGCCCACAAAGACTTGGGTGGGAAAGACTCAAAGGCACTTGGGCCACTCAGGACCTCCCCAGCTGTGTCTGGGTTGCAGGGGGGGAAATGATGGAGAACCAGCCAGTGGGGCTGTCAGCAGTGGGGGCTTTTTAAAAGAAAATTATTTTGATGAATATATTTAAATTTTTTTATTGTGGAGCATAGGAACTGTCCCCCACCCCGTGGCCTTACCCTCCTTGAACAGGGTAGGGCAAAGCTATTGGTTGGGAGGCGTCTTCTCACCTCTGGCTTAAGAGCAATGGTGGGTTTCCCTTCCCTTCCCTCTGCAAGGCTGAAGCCCGGTTTGCAGAGTGGAGAAGAGCTCAGACTGGTGCCACAGATCAACACTGAGCAGTGAAGGGTCTCTTCATCCGTCTGGGATATAAGATGGCTGTTGTACATGGCTCGGTTCCCTTTTTGTCTGGAAACTAAAGACTGAGTGTGGCAAAATCAATGACATTTCCAACTAGGGAAGCCCTGTGACCTCAGAATTCACTGACATGTTTTGGGACAACTGGAAGAATGAGTAGTGTGGATAACCTGCTGCTGGGCAGGGCTGTTGCCAGGCAGGGCGTAGAAACCATCTGTGTATAGTTGAGCTGTGGAAGCTACTTTGGCAGCAATGAATGTTGAGCTTTTTGTGCAAATAGACCCTTCAGCCTGGAAGTGGTAACATGTGCCAAAGGCTGCTCTGCACCTCACTTCTTTACCAAAAGCCTAAGTGTGTGTGTGTTTGTGTATGCACATAGCAGATAGACTAATGGATATCAGTTTCTGCTGGTCATCAATATGCCCTTGAAGCTAAGCAGGGATTCCCAGACCAGGTAACATCCCTGTGTAGGCTTGGTCATTTGTGGGCTCTTCCTGGGCCCGACAATTAGAGTGGTGGGTGGATAGAAAGTAAGGCCTGAGTGGGTACAGGTTCTGAAAAAGGGGCTTCTGAGCCGGCCTAGCCTTAGTCCTGGGCATCTGGACATCTGGAGTCACTGGGAGGGAGGGCCTCGTGGGGCTGCAGCTCTGTGTTTCTAGGGAAATATGGCCCAGCCCCTTTGAAGGCAACAGGAACCCAACAGGGTCCTGTCTTCTCGAATAAAGCTCCCTGAGCTGGGCTGAAGAGCTCACAGCCATCTGCCTTGCTTTCGCCACCTTTCCTGTGACCCTGGGGTGTCTTGCCTCTTGTACCCCAACTGAGAGCTGGGGCCTCATTTCCACACATCCCCACCTCAGTGGTTCCTGTCCTGTGGCATTAGGGGCTCCGAAGCCTCACTGGGCCCCGTTAGACTGAGGTGGCACTGCATTCTCACTGCCTGAGACTAGTACCCTGCTACCCCTACTACTTAGCCATTTCTTGTCTCCCTCCATCCTCAGGGAAATGGGCGTTGAGCCAAGGGCTCAGAGAGATCACTCTTCCTCTGCCCTCCCTTCTCCCTAAGGCCAAGGCTGCTTTCATACTTTTATCAGTCCTGAATCCCACAACCTGCGGGCCACCTCTGATCTCCTTGCTCTAAGGTAAAGGCCTAGTTCCTCTTCCTGCACCTCTACCCATCCCCCAGTGGACTGGTACTCCCGCCTCCCCCTCCCCCAAGGAGGGTGGTGGTCTTGTGTAAACTCTGGGTCAAACTCTTTGGAGATCCTGGATTCTGAGGGAGGAGTTTTCCCTGCATTCTGCAGCCTAGCTGGTAGAAGGTAGGTGGAGTTACTCAGAGAAGAAATGTGAATGAGACAGAAAAAGACATGGCTTTTAGCCTCCTGCATCCGAATCAGTTGTGAATGTTTATTCCTGGTGGATCTTCCAAACCTGACTCATCTCCCTACCTGTTGTCAACAGCCTTCCCTGCTGATCACAGAACCACAGACCTCAGACCACACACTTACCACAGGTGCATGCACCAGACACTCTGGCATGAGACTCAGAGAGCACAGCTTCAGACTTTACCTGGTTCTAGTTTTGTCCCTGCCAAGTCCCAGCCCCTGAGCTACTGGAGCCAGGGTTGGGGAAGTGCCTTCCTGGCTATTTAGGGTCAACTGAGTGTGGCTGGGAGTTTTGTACACCAGCCAAGCAGGGAAGTTGCTATTTCCTGTGGTGAGTTTTGAGGCCAGGCAGCCACACTGAGTCTTGGAGCTCCCCAAAGCTCTTCAGGGCTTAAGAGCCAGGTAGGAAGATCTAGACTTAGACCCAGTGAGCCTGCAGAAGTGGTTATGCCTGTGCGTGTGAAGGTTGGGTGTTTAGTTTTACAGCTGACCTTGGGACTGGGGAAGTGGGAAGCCTGAGAGAGGCTAAGATGGTAATGGGCCAGTGTAGCATTGAGCGTAAAAAGGTCATGATTCAATTTGGGGTCCCCAGTACCAATGACTATTGACTCCTTGGGCATTGTTCTGGAGAAAATAAAGTCTTGGCTTTATAGAAAGTTAGCTGTGAAGGGTGGAAGGGGACCACAGTCCACCCCTCGGCAAGACAGTGCTCATCTGCAAGAGGCTGATCTGTGTCACCCCCTTAGGGGCCTTAGCTGGGTGAGGTGGACAGAAGACCCCAGTGAGTTCAGAGAGGGGCCTGGGGATCCTGTCTACTTTGAGCATTGGGTCACGGGCAGAGCAGCCTGCTTGGGATTGGGGTTCCTAGTTGGAGCAGAACTGAAAGTGAAATCGTGGTTGGGAGCTTTTCCCAGCAGCTGACTGCATCCTGCTTTTCCCAGAACGAGGCTGTCAGCGGAGAGTGTTGCTTCCCAGGTAAGTCCCTGGCTCTTTGTGCCTTTCTCCCCCTTTCTAACGGGTAGGATTGGATTGGGGCACCTTTATAGAAATGCTCTTTGGAGCTGGTATAAGAGGAAATTGTTACTAGGTAACAATAGCAGTGTCTTAAGTGCCGATTGCCCAGCGTGTGGCCCTAGGCCTGCCCTCTGAAGTACCAGAGGCTGAAACGGGTGTCAATAACACTGTCCGAGGTAAGGAACCTGAGAAGATGTGGGGTTGGCTGAACTTTACTCACCTTTTTCCAGAGGAAGGTCCAGATACCAGACTTGCTTGCTCCTGACACGTTCATCACGACCATGAGACACTGCTGGACCGCAGGTGGGACGTGGGGCTCTGTGGGGTCTTCCTAATGGATGGAGCACCATGGCTTTGAGCTTCTGTGGAGCTGCTCTGGCTCTGGCTCCATCTCAAGGCTTCTTTGCACCACATTCAGCAGGGCTAATGGGTGGAGGCTGAAGGGTCTCCACCCACTCTGATGCCTGGTCATAGTCTAGGAGTATCTTTCGCCACTCAAGTAGCAGCTTGTCTCTGACCAAAGTAGGTGCTAGGATGCTGAGCTTTACATCTGTAACTATCTGTTCCTCAGACCCCAATTCTTGGTGGGTCCTGCTTCTGTATGTCCATGTTGTCATTCTGGCCAGAGCCACATCTGCACCTCAGACAACTGCCACTGTCTTTACTGGGAGCTCAAAGGACCCATGCTCATCCTGGTCTCCAGAAGTTCTGACTAAGCGGTACCCAGCACTGGACGTGATCTGGCCAGAGGAAGAAGTGCCACTGAGTAAGGAACAATTATGGGAGCCCAAGAGGTTATAGTTGTCAGAAGGCAGGCTGTGAGCAGAGGTCATGGGTTGGGTTGACTTGGGAGTGTACCTCCCATCTGCTAAGAAACACAGCCAGGCCAGCTTGGCTCTGGGGTCACTATTCTACTGCCTGGCTCCCAAGACGGTTCATATAGGATTATAGACCCTCACCTTGCCTTAGTTGCAAGGTACTCCAGGGCATAGCCCCTCTGCCCAGAGCCTGCCTGCCTTATGGCCATCTCAGAGGACCATCAGCCTGCTAGTATGACCCTGTTGGACCTGGTGTAGAATCTTAGATACTGGGCACTGTTTTAGAAAGGTCTCCCGAGGAAGGAGCACGGAAGTAGAAGAATTACGTCAACTCAGGACATTTCCCTTGGGAGATTAACGCCAGTATTTTCCTTTAACGTTTTCCTACGTAGGTGGGGCACAGGTGTTACAGGTTCTGATTCATGACTAAGGGAAGCTGGCGGAGTAGGGACCTCTGTTTCATAGAATAACTAACAGCCATACGTGCTCCTAGATGGAACGCTGACCTTGTCCTGTACTGCCTGCAGCCGCTTCCCCTACTTCAGCATCCTCTACTGGCTGGGCAATGGTTCCTTCATTGAGCACCTCCCTGGCCGGCTGAGGGAGGGTCCCACAAGGTGAGGGTCATAGCAGCTGGATTAGCAGAAGGGAGACCTCCCCTGCAACCCTCTCATGATTTCCTTCTGCTTCTGCAGTCGGGAGCACAGGAATACAAGCACCTGGCTACAGAGAGCCTTGGTGCTGGAGGAACTGAACCCCACCCTACGAAGCACCAACTTCTCCTGTTTGTTTGTGGACCCTGTACAGGTGGCCCAGTATCACATCGTTCTGGCCCAGCTCTGGGTAAGGAACCTGAAGGAAGGCATCCAGGGATGGGAGGAACTCTGCTGTCTGGGGAAGAAAGGATGGGCTTTGCCGGGACAGCCTGTCAGCCAGAGACAGAAATGAGGAACTTAGGACTTCAGTGATAGAGGGGCAAGAACTCTTCCTTAGCTCTGACCTTGTGTGCCTTTACTTCTCCAGGATGGGTTGAAGACAATCCCGTCCCCTTCTCAGGAAATCCTCTCCAGCCACAGCCCAGGACCCACATCAGCAGGGCCAGGGGTTAGCATGAAGCCAGCCACAGCCTTGACTGGAGCCTGGCTCCCATCTACGTGGAGGGTGAAGTCTCCACCATAGGCTCTGCTTGCTCCTGTGCAGCTGAGCCTTAAACTCAAGCTTCATTTCTACCTAGAATATCACAGTAATTAAATCAGGCCCTTAGAATTCCTCCCGCTTGTCCTTCTGTCCATCGCATCTCGTTAACTTTTCTAATGTCTTCTTCATCCCACTGGTGTTCTGGAACCTCTAAGACCGATGGTGCCTTAGCCAAGCAATAGGAGCTTTGCCTACAACTCAACATGACTTTCCACAAGCATGTCAGGTCTCTGACATTCTGCACCAATCCAACAGGTGAACCTTGGTTGAGATGTCACTTTGGCAACATCTACACTGAGCTCTGGCCACAATCTGCATTGGCTTCACTATTTATAGGTGGTTTTGTTTTCCTCATTTGCCCCAATGTACTGTCCCAAGGAAGGGATGGGACAATGGCTGCTTCAGATCACAACTGTATCTGTAATCTCAGCCGGGCCCACGAGGAGTCCTCATAGAGCAGCAACATCTCAACCTCTGATGTATTTTAGGCTCTTGTACTGTCCACAGGAATACTCCCTGTCTCTCATGCCAAGTAGAAATTCAGGATAACACAAACCCTTGGAATAGAAAATATCCCATAGTATTAGGGGGCCAGAAATGGAATGTGGAAAGATTCTAGAAAATGTGGTCCCAGGAAGGCAGATAAGAGTGGTGGTCTGAAGACTCCTCGGGTCCCAAAGAGCTGTAATTTCCCTCCTTCCCCCATACACACTCAAAAGAGCTCAGCACTCAAGGGAGAAAAATAGACTTTATTTACAAGTAATAACATTTAGAAAAGATCCATCCCTGGCCCTTAAAAACCTTCCCATAGTTCCATATCCCACCCCAGTGCAAGTCTGGGGAAGGTGAAGTATGAGCTGCCACCTATCCCACCCCTGAGACCCAGGACCCATCTGTCCTGGAAAAGAGCATCCTCCAGGCACCTGTGTCCTTGTGTAGATGGGCGTAGGTAAGAGCAGAGGCTCCTACCAGGTCAAGCCCAGTCCTGGGCTGCAAGAGCAAAGGCCTCTGCTAGGCCCAGCTACCAGGAACAGCACGAAGCATAACCTGCTTCTCCAGTGGTCCCTTCTAGGTCCAGAGACTAAGGAAGACTGTCTGGGATCAAGAATCCAGCCTCAAATCTAGTTATGATGGAGAAGTAGGCTTTTCTCCAAAAAGGGGGAAAAAAAAATCAGGAGGCAAGATAGGGAGAATACCCCACACTGTACAAGCTCCAAGCCTCCTGGGCCAGCTCTGAAAAGATGCCTAAAAGGCAACAGTGAAGGTCCAGGTACCAGGCAAGGGTGCAGGCAAACATCACTGTCTCTGGGGGGATGGCCACCACTGGCCTGGGAGCTGAGAGAA